CAATAGTTGCAAATTAAGTTAAATGACATCATTCTTTCATTAAACCATAACAACGACATTTATTTTTTTTTTAGTAATTCTTTAATCGTCGCAACCCGCCGCATCGATCATCTCTTTCGATCAGACACGGACGTTAAAAGGATAACGCGAGGTGTCGAGTCGAGATAAATCGCGCGTATCAAATTTCTCCCGAATTGCGCGGCCTTCGGCGATCGCGACGCGGAAGACCAAAATGCGTCGGTGAGATTTATCGTGATGCCTTTTCGGACCACTGTAATTTTGTGAGACGACCGTCGACGTAACCGCTTGATATATCGAGCTCTCGTTATACTTCTCTCACCACAAGAAAACAACTTTTCCGCAACGGCAGCCAACGAATCGCACGCGAGCACGTATCTCACGCGTGTTGCAGAATTACGTAGTCGACCGATATATCATCGTTTCGTGAGTTCGAATTAAATATTGAAAATACGACGTAAAATCAATAAGAAAAAATATACCTAACAAAAATATCAAAATCTTTAAGAATTTGTATATAATTTCACTTTATCAGCAAAGCTACAAAAAAAAATATTCTTTATTAAATAAACATTTTTATTTTCTTATATTATCCAAATGTAAAGAAATTATTTTAATAAATATAATAAATACAATAAATAAATAAATTATTTTCCATTCTCTCAATGGAATATTTTAATTTGAATATGAAATACCTCAAATAGAATAGTTTAAGAGTTATATATCTCTCAATCATTTTTGTTTAATAATTGACTTGAAATACGAAGAATAGAGCATTCATTTCGGCGTATCTATTTTATTGTATGTTTGACATTTCACAGCAGAGATAAATTGGTACATAGCACTTGGCTTTTAAATTTGTACAACATACTGTTTTATTTACGCAAAGTTGTGTAAGTTATCATCGCGAGACTGGAGTCGATAGACAGTATTTTTTTTGCAGTCATTATTTCTTGAAATGCGATAACAGCGAGTATTAGGAAAAAAAATGTGAAAACATTCTTTATGTATAATTGACAATAATTAACATGTACGACTAATTATTACCGTGATTAATAATTACGCGCATTAATCAAATTACAATTAAATATTCGAATTAGGAGTCAAATAACAATAACTTTTAAATCGTTCTCAATTAACGGAATTAATCATTATTTAAAGAGATCATAAAGGAACAAGGTATGTACGTATCCGATCAATAAAATTAATTTAAAATGCAACAAAAAAATTTTCAGTCACTTATATATTTTCCGATATATTGAATATTACGAATTATTAATTGGCACGCGGTATTCTGTGTGATATTTTCGTTCTGCGGCGCGGCGAACGTCACATTGTTTTGTTTATATGTCGCTACAACGGAATTCGGATCCGTAGGTTGTTGTTGTTCCGAATATCGCAACATGTTATTACTTCTCGAAACGCGATCGCGGCAGGTACTAGAAGGAGAACGCGAGTGTTCTCACACGAGTAATTTACAATTTTTAACAAGCGCAAATAATTAATTAACGTCTCTTAAACGTACGTACGAAGTGATGGTTATATGTCAAAAACGCATATCCCGCCGGACTGAATCATTAGATAGAATTCGCAACGGAGGATGAGAATTATGAATTTCTGTTCTATCGCAATATTCACGGATGAATGATTACTTCGCAGATTTTAAATGCAATTGTTTCCGTATTAAGGGCGTAAGCCGTAATATACGAGTGGGGCGTAATTCGAATAATGGAAACCCGTGCTTTTATCGCTCGTTCATAAATAATATGTAAATTTAGAAATTTCGAATGTATCGCGAACGTGTTGAACGATTTATTATTCAAAGCACGGAAGATGCGTATAAGTATATGTACATTGAAGCATAGAATGGATTTAATATTATTGCGGCGAATACCGTATTTAGTTAGCCGCGATTGCGATTTTCGAAGTAATGTACGTTACGTCATATTGCAAAATGTGAATCCCAAACGGAATGTAGCTTAATGCTTTCGTGCTGTTTTTGCGTTAATCTTTTATCTTAATAATGTGCGTGTCGCATTCAATTAATGTCGAAAGTGCCATACTGAATATCGGCGCGTTCTCTATATTCTGGAAATGAGTGCGCGTGTAATTATTGTGTTTTCGTGAGTGAATGTGTGTCATAAAGGAATGATGGAAGAAGGAGAAGAAGACCTGGGAGACCATCTCGACAAATCAAATAGGGATAAGTGATTTAATATATGTGCGTTATGTACTATTCACGAAATTAATTGCTTGTTCCTGTTCATTTGGATTGCAAGCATTTTGTATTTTATAAAAGTAAAAATAAGAGTAAAAATAAGAGAGTACATTTAAAAAAAAATTAAATACAATTAAATACAAAACATCTGTTTTTATTAATTTTGTTGCCGATAATATTTAAGATCACAGTTATTAATAAAAAGTATTGTAGAAATAACTATGTAATGATAACTAGATTTATCTCAATTATACCTCAATTTTTACGTGGTCAAGAAGGGACTTGGTTTACAAAACTTCCTTACCTCACTCGATTAATAATTACGTAATATACTTTTATATTAAATTTATTTTAAATAATGTGGAACGAGAACGCGCGAGAGAGAAGATTTCTCCATGACGCACATTTAATATATATGATTAAATAAAATACTGCATATAAGATTTCTATTAAAAGTAATATATATATATATATATATAATCAAGTTGTCGGTTAATCGAGCATCGATCGAGTATAATGTAGCATGTAAAAGATCAAAAGGCAAAATTGGCTGAGCAATGCAGATTTCACCTAAACTACAAAAATCAATCAAGTGTATGATAGATCGATGCGCGTGAAATTCGACGAGATCGGCCGACTTTGTAACGCTCGTATCTCGAAAACTGTTGCAACGTCGACACTTTGGTATTAAAAATTTTCTCCAATTAATCCCCCCCCCCGGTGTACGATATTGAAGCATCTCGCACGGTGATTGCACATTCCGTGTACAATTACGGGCGTCCCCCGTAATCGCAACTTCGCCGCGACCCAGTTGTCAGTTGTTTCGATCGATGATCTCGAATGAGAGAGATCACTCCTGTACCGTCAGAATCTGCAATCACCCGATTCATACCGGTTCCAATCCCCCTGGCTTGCGTTGCGGGATTTTTTTTTAATCGCGTCACACGCTGGGCCCTAATCGTCCTAAACGTCGTGAGTCGCAACGAGGTAACGAGATGCGCGCCGCGAAGCCGATTAGACGATTGAACGTAAGAGGATCTGACGTAGGAGGCGGCCGTAAGAAAAAGCACCGGCGATTTATTTCGAGCCAGCGACGTCAGCTTTTTCGTTCGCCGCGGTCGGTCGCGTGCGT